CGGAGCTGTGGAAGAACGGCAAGTGTTCGGAAGTTACTGTCGTCCAAACGGCATTAGCCTTTCAACTTTGTACAATAACAAACAGAAGTGGCATGCTGTGAATTCGAATTTTTGAAGATCATATTCCATTCAGCCAGTTTGAGCTTTCCAAGATCGTTTATCATAAATCAGATACTGTTCCTCAAGTCATGATATAGCCGATTCAAACCGGAAATCAAGGAAAGAGTGGTCAGTGAACCATGATTTTCAGCTGAACCTTGCTGAAACCCTGTCATGAAAAGTATCAAAATGATCACGGAATCATTCATGCTGGTACTCACGGCGACACTTGTTTTGAAGTTCATAATTGGACTGGAGGGTTTACGACGCAGCCGTGTCCGCAGGTAACACCTTAGGTTACTGGAGACTCAAACCTCAATTTCCTTGGGAAAAACGTCAAAAAAGCTGAAGGAAGCTGGAAGATCTATGCAGCAAGAGATTCGCCTTAAGCAGGGCTCTCGAATGGTCCGAATTTCTTTGACATGTTGACAATTTTGACGAAATTTATGGCAAACCGTCGATGTTACAATAATTAGGTGGGGGTATTGTACTCAAGCAGCAGAGCGCAGAGGAGAGCAGGAGACCAAAGACAAACTGTACAGTCACCTTCGTAAAAGGTCGTCCATGCGTAAAAGGAACGGGACGGCAGCTCAAGTATAAACCATTCGCTACCCGAGAGCGTGCAGAGTTGGGGCTAAATGGTATTTGTACCAGAGCGCCGTTCCACACTCCGCTCAAGTTATCTTCAAGTCGCAGCACTTGCATGGGCAGAAACGCATTTGACTATGGTTGAGCGTGTAGCTGGCCGTGCAGCGCAGGCCTAGTATGGAAACGGGACCCGGGTATCGCTACGCGCAGCCACATTTCCGTACACTTTTGAGCTGCGAGAGTGGTACGCTACTATCGCTGAGGACCCCATTCACCTCTCACATAACAGGGACCAATACACAGAGGTGAGTGTACATACCTTTAATAGGGCCACATAGCATCGGTCCTAAAAAGCGTAGACAAGTAGAGCTCGCCCGGCATTGATCCTTTCCGTTTCCGAGGCGGTCTGCGGAAAACTAGTACTGAATCCTTCCAGTCACGTCACCTTTCTGTTTTTATCTGCGCTCTCTCGTCCACGGGACATTTTTGGCCACTGAGTCCTGCAAATTCTGACTTTTCACACGTAGTAAGTGACTCATCCGCCTCAAGATCCTCTTCCTCTGAAAAAAATCGCTCCTTGATTGGCGATATGTTTATTGCACCTTTCAATGCCTTGGAAGCCCTTTATTTCTCTACGCTCTGGCCTTTTGCGCCAGGACCCTTACGAAAAGTTCTAGTTGCCATTTCGTAGAGTTAAGCGCTTCTTTTGTTTGCGATTTGAATCATAGGCAGATCGCCATAATCAACCAAGGTTAAAAACCCTCCACTATACACGAACGCGGAGTCCGCAGCCACAGCGGATTCGCACTCTTGCGCCTCGAAATCTACTGATTGACGAGGGCGGAGTACGTAAGCAAACGCCGCCTGTCCTGTTAATCCCGCCCCGACTGGTTAACAGTTGTCAATCCTTGCTGGCTTTGATAATCGCTAAATTTCTAGCGTTTGTTTCGTACACTGATAGAGAGATTAACTCATAGACAGATCGATTATCAATGCCAGCGTGGATTAATTAGATTAGATAAGATAACCTAGGTGGTAGCCTCATGAGAATTAGCCGCAACGAGGCGGCGACGTTTTGGAGAACTCACCCAAAATCTGCGAAACTCGTCCAGATGCCTTAAATCGAATAGGGTCTTATTTCATGTTCTTGCACACCTTTTTCCTACTTTTTTGATTAATGCTTCATTTGCCACCTGTTCTAACAAATCTGACCCCTGAAACCTGCCAAAGTCCATCGCGGGCGCTGTCTTTAAAGTACCATCTGAGAGGAGTTTTCGTCATGAGATAGATCTTCCAAATGTGCTATCAAACAGTTGATATCTACCGAATCATTTATTCCGAAAAGAACTAGAAGACGTACTGACAGACGCAAGCAATAGTTAAAACCGTGTGAAAGCAACACTTAATGCTTTCTTCTGTTCTGATTATTCTTGCGAGCTCGTCGTCGTCCATGCGTAGCAGCTCCTCGGGCTCTAGCTTTCCTTAACGTTGCTCGCTTGCTCTTCTTTTTAGGATTGGCGACTTCGGCATAACTTCCTGAAGTACCCTGTCGACCTTTTGAAGCAGTTGAAGCAGCTGAAACTGCACCGCTTGGGCCAGCGTCGTTTACTGCTACATTAGTTGTTGTCGTCGAAGCTTCTTTACCTTCATGCTTGCCCACTACTTTCTCTTCAACGTTTACTTCAGCTCCTGCATTTTGGTTCTTCTGGGATATTTCAACGCTTGGCTCAACGACTATGGTCTTCTCTTTCACTGATACCTCAGCGTTTACTTCAGTGCCTTGAGAATCATCAGGGGCTGAAACCGATACGCGTTCACCAGCACTAGAGGCAGCACCTGAAGTTTGAACTGTTATTTCTGCGTTTGCTGCATCATTTCCGGAAGTTCCCTGCGCCTGCACGTTACCAGTTGAACCTTCGGACTTCAGCTCACCTTCCGGATGGCTGTCTGCCTCTGCATGAGATCCTGCGGTTTGACCTTGCGGTGCACCTCCAGATGATGATCCCTTCAGAATCTGTATCGCTCACTTTCACCCCGACAACTTAATGTTGATCGGGCTCCTTCAGTTCCAGTAACGGAAGAGGAAACAGATACCTCAGGAGCTGTTTCAGCAGTACCTGCAGTGCTAGATGACGATGATACACTTCCCGTGGCCACCGACTTTTCAGCTGCAGCTGCAGGGGACTGTGTTTCTGCACTACCGGCATGTTCTGCTGCTCCTGTGCTACCAGTAACCGAGACTGATACGGCCCCCGTGGTGGATGATTTCTGAGCTGCAGCAGAAGAGGATGGCTCTTGTCCTTCATCGGAAGAGGCTTCTCCGTGCGTGGATGACGTGGCTTCATGCGATTCATCAGTTGACGTAATGCCAACTCTAGGAGGGCATGGGCAGTATGCTGCATCGTGTCCTGGTTCTCCAGGCGTTCCTGGTTCTCCAATAGGTCCGGCTGGACCAGGTGCGCCATCCTTGCCCGGAGGTCCAGGTGGTCCAGGAGGTCCAGGCTCAGACGGAGCTTGAACGTATGCATCACCACCTGAAATGAGATCAGAGTCAACGAATTGTGATGGCGACACGACATAACCACCTTAGCTGATATACTTACCTGATCCAGGCACCCCTGGTGGTCCTGGGGGACCTGCTGGTCCTTGAGGTCCTTTCAAGTGTCTCTCTCCATTAGCGCCAGGTTCACCGTCAGCACCACGTTCACCTGGAGCTCCATCTGGTCCAGGTGGACCAGGAGGTCCTGCTGGTCCTGCTGGTCCTACTTCTCCTTCGGAACCCGATTTACCTGGAGCACCCGCTTTTCCAGCGGGACCTTGTGGACCATCAGGTCCAGGTGCACCTGGCTCTCCGGCAGGGCACTGAAGTATTAGTTGACACTCTGATATTGAGCAGTGATTTTGATAACGCTTACCTTGATACATCCCATCGCTGCAGCGTAGAAGCCCATCTTCATGCCATCCACTCCTGGCAGACCGTCTTGGCCGGGAAAGCCGTCCTCTATATAAGCGGTATGCATGAGCACTTGAGAATCGTAATAAGAGTCTAATGAACTTACCTCCAGGAGTACCAGCCTCGCCAGGTGGCCCTGGTGGTCCTGCAGGACATTCTGAAACATTAACTTCTCGAATCTTTCCATAGTGAACCTCGTTAACTAGCAACTGCAGGTAATCTGTGATTGTACTGCGCAAACAGGGCACGAAAACTGTTGCTGAGTCTGCCAACTTTTCGATCATGACGCGCGCGACTATGTGAAATGCGCCTTATACCCCCGAGAATAGGGTAGGTATTTCGGTAAATGTTGTGATGCTCTGAACTAACCGGAAGATATGCTTCCGCTTCCACCATTGTCGGCTGGACTGGTTGAGTATGCTCCTGAATGCCGCAAAACTTCAGGAAATGCTACAACATAAAAAAGCCAAACAACTGACCTGCATTCACGGTTTTTGCTCCACGTTGACGATGACGGCGATGTTTTTGGTTATGCACAGAACGTGCAGATCGCTGCATGTCGTTGGATACTATTTTCTGCCACACATCATTCGCTTCCTCCTGAATGGGTCATATTAAACACACAGTTCGCAATTATCTTGTGACAAAATCCCTTCATCTATAAAAAGGCCTACTCTGCCGTCAGAGAAGATGTACTAGGTCCAGGTCTCAAAATTTCACGCAAAGCACGTTGCAAGTTAAGGTTACGCATTTGGAGTTCCGGTAGGACCATGCCGGCGTCCGTCGCATGGCAATGTGGCTGTGCTCTCTCTCGTCCATTCTTTCCTAGTATCTTTCCCTCAAATTCCAGTCAAGGCTCGTCAAGATATTGGGTAGGAGTTTCCGCAATACAACCTCCCCTCCCCCCAATTCTCTCCTCCGGACTTCTGCTCAGGCTTTAATCAGTGTTTTACTGACCCCATCGACCATTAGATATGGGAGGGTAGTGCCGCGTCGCCAGCTGGACGCGGGGGAGGGGGCACGGAGCGCGCCATGTGCGCAAAACGGGAAAATTACAATGTGTTTCTTCGAGGCGAATACGTTCTCCCTCCTCTCCAGCGCTCAACTACGACCCCTTCGGGAACTCACGGAGAAACGCCTCATTAAGGTTTTTCTTGAAGCCTATTCCCTGTCTTGAGGCGGAAGTGGTGTAGAGGTATTTGACACGCTTACCACGCGTGCGATCCGGGGAAGAAGTCCCTGATCGGCTCCCACCCAGGCCAGCCAAGCCTTTTACCTTCTGGCGACAGCAAATTTATGTCATATTCGTTTGGGATGATAGGAACACTGACTTGTACATCGACCAGCTCCTGCAAGTCATTGTATAGGCCACATCGCATTCAATAAGCCACTACGATTCTGAATTGAAGTAGAATGCGCGTTCGTGGAAGGTGCCATTATGAATGATGGTCAAATTTGGGCATAGAAAACTGGCAACTTTGCTGCAATATTAAAGGAAATACCAAATTCAGCCTTGACGCGACTGTGTCCACCACGAGTGGCTAGCAGGTCTCGACACTGTCACTGTAAAAATTAGTAAATTTTATGGTGGTCCTAATGTTCTGATGTTCTACGCAGGAGGATCCTTGAGTTCATCGCAGTACAAGACCTTCTCACGTGACCCTCATTAAAATTACATGAAATCGCCATGGATAACTCGGGGGCAGGTGTAGCACAGGTCTGTTACCTGTACAGAGCTAAAAGATTACGTGTTTTCTAGCTGTGTTGCATCAGTGTCATTGGCGTCCCAGGGACGTCATCGTTCGATGTGACGTCAATGACGGCCAGCTCTTAACAGGTAACGTACTGGGCCGTGTGTCTAAGCTGAATCAGCGCCTTATGTGGAAAATGTCTGGATCGATTATTCAGAAAAGTTATTCATACCTTGAAATCGATCATGTTAGTGATGAGATTCCCTTCGAAGCTGGACATGTCGACGAACATCCACAGGGCAGCCAATTGTGCCATCACAACGATGGCAGCTGCACTGGTAATAGTGACCGTCAACATGGTGTTGGACATCCTGACCTGACGAGGACACCGAGGACAACGGTTGAATACTGCATCAGTCACGGATTAGCTTTTATAGTAGCGGAAATCCGTGATGATCAGCTATGATTTGCACAACTGATATGGCGACTGGTCCAGTGTGGGCCTGGTTTGTCTTATCCTTGGTTTGATCTGTTTACTAAGTACGGCGATTCTATCGAAATGAGATATCTTTCGCAATGAAGTGTATAAAATGGCTCAAAGCGTGCGAATTAGCCAGATCTTCTGCTACTGGTTCAGTGCTACTGTTCCGTTATCTGGACTACTCCTTCAAAGGTACTGCTTCATTTGAATATTCTCCAAAAGTGTTGAAACTCTTTAATAATTACGCTTAGAAATTCCGATGCTTCCTTTAGCTTAACGATTTTGGATGTCACCTAAGTAAACAACGGGAGCTCCTCTTGTCAAAACGTTTATTGATGACATTTCATGCCGCGTCCGAAGCTAATCTGGAGGAGGGCTTAGGCCAGGAATGGCGTCAATAAGTTTCGAAAAGGAGACTTTTAGGAAGCTTAGAAGCTTGCAATTACTATTAATATTCTTCCTTCTGCATTATGAAGCTTGAACAGTTGCCAAAAAAATTAGGTTGAAAACTGCTCTTCAGCATTTTCGCTCATCCTTCAGTTTCTATAGGATATTCACCCGTGAGGCGGTGTAGTGGCAAGTGGCGCCGATAAGACGAGTAGCATGCGTGCAGTCTTGGATTCGGACATAGAATCGGCCCTCTCAGGCCAGCCAAACCTCCATCTTCCTAGGAACGGTTGATCGATATCAAACTTAAATTTAGTTTGGGATGAGAAAAATAAGCAATGATTTGTACATTGGCTGCTCAACCGCAGCTTACCCCCCCCCCCCCTTCGCTCCCCTTCACCGAAGTCATTGCATGAGCCAGATCGCATTCAAGTGTTACTACGTCTAAGTAGTAATAGAATAAGTGGCGCATCTGAAAATGGATTAATTGCGAATGCTATGCCATAGCTGGTCCTCGATGTGTACCTTGTACCATGTGTAGCGACCAGATCTGCTCACACATTTGAGCATAGTCTAAACTATGGGTGGTTCATTTCCCGATCTTTCATTCTCGGGGTTGATCAGCTTTTCTTTTCCTAGGGGTAAAGGATACTTTGCAGTGGATCAATCCCTTTGTGGGATGCCGCACGAATTCTACTTCCATTCAAAATCGCAATGGCTTATTGAATTCGGTATGTCTAAGGCGTTTCTGAAGGTATGCATTCACTGAATGGACCGACGGCGTTGGATGGGTTGTCCTGCTCGATGTTGATCAGTACTCTTTGGGATTCGCATTGCATCCTATTTCTATTGAGAATCGTAGTAGGTTGAATGGAATATGGCCCAGCCCAATATACAAGGATTAGCAGGGCCCACCAGTACCTACAGGTCGGTTTTTTATCCCAGACCAATTGATAGCGATCAAGTGTCCCCGTAGGAAAGGAAGCGCGGAAGGCATCGGTCAGGGAGTCCGTGTTCAGACTGCGCTTGCGGTATGCGAGCCACTTGCCACTATACTATCATCTAACTTAGCGTTAACTACTTGTTACGGCTTTTGACTGATTTCGCAAGCTGGTGAGTTTTTAGTACTTGTTTTTTTCAGTCTTCCTTTCTGGAATAATGGCGAAAGCGCTGATTGCCACTGGAACATCAATATGCGCTATAACTATCACAGTCTCCATATGGTACATTTTCGGGATAATAAACGACATCAATCGTTTTGCAGATGAAGTCACGAAGGAACTGGAACAATTCAAGGTTAGTTCGTTGCCACATATTACACTAAAGCCACATTCCACGGTAATAGGGTGGGTGGAGTTAGGGGACTGCTGGACTCTCCTCTTCCATGTGCCCATACTTGTTACATGGGGAAGAGGGAGGCTCACTAGTTCCACAAGTCTTGTCAGTTTTCATGTATACGATCTGCATAGAAAACTGATCTTTCAGGAATTCTTCACCGTAAATTTTAGAACTCTAAGCTATAATCATGTTACTTTACGTTCTTAGATGCACGGTATAGATATTGGGGACCTGTGCTCCAGTTCGAGGACCATAAGTGACTGCTTCTTCCTTTCCGTTCCTCAATAAAGAACCAGCCATCTTCCGTTACACTCTGCGTACACGTTGTGACGCTCAGGAATGAAAATGAGGGCACTGTGGCCCACCCGTGACGACGTAACCCAAAAGAAATTTGCAGAAGGCAGTGAAATGAGCTTCTCGATTCTACAGCTTATGATACGGGGTTCATATGTCGGCGTCGGGGACGTAGTTAGCACAGTTCAGCTTGGGTGGGGGGGGGTAGGGTGGCATTTCGCACTTTTGGTTACTTCCAATTTCGTGTTCAACGCTTTACAAAAGTTGACAGGTATAAGGGTTGAGCTGTAGTCTCTGCGAGACTTGACTGGTATCACGCTACGAATCTCTATTTGATGGCTTAACACGGCAATGGGAAGTGCCTCAAGTGCAAAATGAAGGCCTCCAATCGGGAATGCCCCGAGGCCTGTGAGGGCAACGGCGAGGGACATTTGCCGGTTGATAGTGAGAGAACGCGCGGATAAGACTGCGTTCATACTTCCGTGATTTGGGCGACTTCGGGGCTACGAGATCACGAAGTATGGGAAGCCCTCTGAGAGAAATCGAACGGCACGAACGCCGATTCACATCCCAGCCCTCTCTGCTCAAGCTGACGCTGTCTATTGCCCAGGGTACATCGCTGTTGGCGGACACCCCAGCAGGGGGGGGGGTATGTGGTCGTTGAGAAGGGAGGTTGTATTTGGCTTTTGAGCTTCTGAAATAAGTTGCTAGGTTTCCCTGTTTCATGATACTGTATACCCTCCCCCGTTCGACAGCTTCATGACGAGGGAACCGGGGGGAGGGCTGTATCAACCCCCTAAAAAAAGGGGGTTTGTACGGACTTCGATCAAAATCCCCAACTAATGGTGTGCCCTGCTATTACCACCACTCTCAACGAAGTCCTCTAGCGTTCCGCTTCACCAGGACCACTTCCTGTCGGACCCGAAATATGGTCCATACGAGAGGAGGTTCGCAAAGAACCACATGAACCCTCGCTCATTCGCTGATACAATTCGATCGAGCGGAGTCACCTCAATTGCGGCATCGCTTTCAAAATGCTAACCATTTGAGCCTCTATCGGTACATATACAAATGGAAGGAGAACTGAAGAGGTGCTAGACTTGTGAAAATGAGAACCCTGATGAGGTAGTTCCTAAGCGTTTTATGGTTGGCTCGCCTTTCATCCCAG